AAAACTTGGCAGAGTTTTCAGAAACCATTATGTGAAGAAATTTGATGGTGATGTTATGGTACTGGTGATGTTATGGTGATGTTATGATACTTGTGTGGTGCAAGATCCCAAAAGCATGTATCGTAAATTAGGTGTCATGGCAGGCAATGTGTAATTATCATAGCAGAGATGAGTTGGGAGAATTTTTACACATAGATTCTGGTGGGATTTGCATCAGGCAAAACAGACTGGATTCTGGCAAGCAACAAATTCCTTCAGCAGAAATAACCAGTCAGGATTTCAGTGGAAGTCAGGGGGAGATGATGCTATTTTGCAGATATCTGGAGACACTCTGACCTCCAAAATCATTCTACCATCCTTATGCAGATTAAGAAACTGGGTAAATAAGTCCACTAAAGAGTGTCATTGATGCCGGTGGGTTTCACCTGTTGCATAAAGTGTACCACCTTGTAAAGAAAGGGTGTTGGTATCTGGCCCATTGTAAGCAGAAAATGTATTTTAACATAGAAATTTACTGTAGTAATTGTTTCCAACCCATGTAGCTCCCAGAGAGTTTTGAATGTGCATTTGTACCCATGAGATTGCTGACCATGCAGCTGGTCAGGGACTCTCTCCAGACTCTTTCTCCTCCCAGGTGGCATGGAGGCACTATATGATGTTCAGATCTGCCAAAAAAACCTGTCTCACTCTTCACCAATCAGCCATAAGAGAAGATATTACATCGCTGCTGAAGAAGTGGTCTGGAATTATGGACCTGACGGTTATGATAAATTCACTGGGCAGGGTTTGAACGCCACTGGCAGGTAAGGTTTCTTGTCAACTCCCATTGTGCTTGAATTTCAGGAGTCTGTGTGACACTGCCCCAGTGATTCACATGGGCTAGGTCCTGCACTGTCATTAATTTTAATTGAAAGGAGCAGGGAGGAATGGATTTAAACAGCCATGTCAGGAAGCTAGATGCATTAGTGCGACGCTTCAAGGTGCCTTCTGGAAGCACTTACCTTACTCCATTAAATCCATGGGGAGAGTGAGGCGTGCCAAGTTCAATGCAGTTAATGACCCTTCTTTGAGACTCTTCATGCAGCTTTCACACTTACAATCAGTGCAGTTCAGAGGTACCACAGCAGCAGAATTTCCCCCCATGATATTACTGGTGGAGACAAATTGCATTATAGTGTCTCTCAGAAAAGGCAGCAAGGATTAGACACACATTGTGCACAGTTCTTGCCCTGAGGTAAGTTGATACAGATATCTCCCTAAATAAATCAGGATTAAACATATTAAACATAAAATTCTAATGTACAATGAATTCTCATTTGTTGGCTAATTTAAACCAATAATATCTTTCTTGTTGTGCTAGAAAAATGTATACAGATTAGTAACTTTGGGGGGGGGTCATTTCTCCTGTGCCTGGAGTAATAACTTTATCTGAAATGAAGGTTCTGCTTGAACCTTCTATTATTTAACCAGTCCGATTTGCTAATTCCACAGTGAATCTGCAACATATTTCACACAAGGGACTGACAGAATAGGAGGGCAATACTGGAAAGTTCGCTATGTGGGATATACTGACGCAACGTTCAGTAAGAAGACTTGGTCAGAGGACATGAAGCACCTGGGAATACTTGGTACAGTGAATATTTTCCCCTCCTGTCATTACATCAGGTTTGAATGTAGAACCATCTGTGGAATGTAGGACTGAGAGGGGAATTTAGCGCACGCAGCTCTCTCTTCTTTTGGTGTAAGTATGTTTGAGAGCAGTCCTTCTCATGTGTCCTTCCTCTGTGTTTTAAGGCCCTGTTATAAAAGCTGAAGTGGGAGATACTGTGCTGGTTACTTTTGCCAACAAAGCCAGAAGAAGCTATAGCATCATGGCCCATGGTGTAAGCTTCAGCAAGCTGTCGGAAGGCGCTCCCTACTTAGATGGTAAGTTTTGGCTGCACTACTGTATTGTCACATCCACGATACTTGAGTCCAAAAATCTACTGCTGAGCTCTGCAGCTTTGCCCTTTTGTGGATGCTAAGGCACAGAAAGGATGATTTGATTAGTTTGTATCTACGTTTCATGTCACAATCAATGGGACTCCTCAGTCTGCAAACGTGATGGTTCTTCTCCTTGGATATGTGCCAGACAAGGTATCTCAAACTAGCTGAGGTCTGTGTTGAACAAATGTCACGAGCACAATTCAATTTCTATGAGCTGTAATCTAATATTACACCATTGCAGGGAGTGTATCTCCTCTGGACACACTCCAGAGTTATGACTCTTAGGATCTGGCATGATGACCCTGCTGAGTCTTTGGCTGTATCTGTACACATGGTCTCAGCTGCATCACTCCCAATTCTCTAATCCAGGCTGGGCATTGCCCTTACTTTACTGTCAGGTCAGTTTCAAAGGCAGTTTTTATCTGATTGCCTTGGAACATGAAACAGTGATAATCCTTATTAATTCTCATAAATACATAAATGCTGAAATGGAGCATTTATGAAATTCTTCCTCTCATTTCATGCAAGAACAACATCTTATCATCTAAGTTTAATGTTAAATATCATGTTGAATTGGTAGGCACCTTTTACAGTCAGTGACAAGACAACCCTCTGGAGATGTAATTCTGTCTCCACAAACCACAAAAGTCTAGAGTTTGAGTTAGGGACTAAGCTTGAGATGGCCCAATTGCAGTAAGATGAATCCCATTCATAACATCTACAGAGATAATGCTGTGGTCTCCAAAAATTTTTTTGCTGCATTTTCAGCCCTGAAAAGAAATGTAGTTTTCTTGTTGCCTAAACTGTTTTATTTCCACTACAACACATCAAAAGAAACTCATGGGATATAATTCCTCTTTTGAAAATTGTGCTGAGAGAGAATTAGGTCAATATGTGAAACTCATCATACAATAAAATCAATGCAAAAGGCTTTATTAAATTGTTGTCTCTTGTTGCTGACCTTGCAACTCAACAAATTAGCCAGGAGGCAGAACACAAAAAAACAGCTTGCTTGAGCTCAGCCTCGAAGTTATCTGCACATATCCTAATGCCACCCATGTCAGAGATAGTTCTCCAATGGAAGTGCAGCTTCCTGCTTGCAGAGCTGTTGTGCTTTCATTTAACAGACCCTGGTAATAGTGCCCTCCAGCACTGCACCCTTTAGTGTGTAGCAAAATCAACCCAAAACCCACAATTCAGCAGCCATGTGAGCTAGCACATCTCTGGGTCTTTGGAGAGAAACCTGACTCCAGATCCATCAATAATCTTTCTGCCCCTTCTTCTCTCCTTTTAATTCCTGTGCCATGGATTTCTATTTCATCTATCTACAAGTACATACATCCAGAAATCCTGTGGGTATGCATTCAGAGGCTGTAGGTTTATGCTGAGGGTAAATAATTTTTCAGAGGTTGTGGACTGTTTAAGTGCAGCTTACTCATGTGAAAATACTTTAGATAAAAATACTTAAATCTAGAGATGTCTGCAGATATATGTTTTTTTCTGTGCTCTCAAGAAATACCCTTGAATGTTGCATTTGACACTTGTCAGTCTCAGGGGGCTTTTGACTTCAAAGTCAAGGTTTGCCTCATTGAGGACTGTTGCAGGATGAATCCAGTAGTATTGGATACTCTACTTTCTATTGCAGTTTGCAGCAAATAGCTGTGCTGAGATGTAATACAGCTATTTGCACTTGTGTCTAAGCTTCTAAGATTTCCTTGGAGTACTAGAGACTGACTGTGCTGGGAAAATATAGACAGTGGATGCTTAAGTGTCAAAGAAAATCTAAATCCACCCTTTGAATGGCAGGAGACAATGGCCCAAATCCTTTAAAAGTAGTCTCCAACAAAGAACAATATCATCCACTCTCTGGAGATGCTGACAAAGGCTCCTGTGCATCGCTACAAAATAAAAAAGAAACAATTACCAGGATCAGATTTGTTTTGAATTTCTAAAGAGCCACAGCTCCAGCTCCACTCACTAATGTAATTGATGTGTTGGCACTTAATGAGAAGCAGAGTCTGAGTTTGTGCCACAGATAAATTCCATGATAGGGCAGGTAAGCTACAAACATTAGAGAAAGCCATTTAAGCACCAGGATGAGCTCTGCATGTCTTGTCTGACTGAACCCAGATAATCCAATGTAGCATTGGAAGGTGTCTGAGTGGAGCAGCTCAACTTGTTCTGTGGGGAATGGGCTTGGCTGTCCTCATGGCACGGGACTCAGGTGAGACATTCCCATGGCATAACTGCCCAAGCTACGGGATGGAGCTCGAGCTGTGGTGGGAAGAGGGAGCTTCTCCACAGAAATCAGTGGCTATGCCTGACTTCTCTCCAACTCTTGTAGCCAGAAGACAAAGCTTTCCTGTAATCTTGGTGCATCTCAACTTTCTCTCTACAGGCTACCTGAAGCCAGGAGCCCATGTCAAGCCAGGTGAAACCTTCACGTACAAATGGAGGGTGCCTGAAAACGGAGGTCCAACAGAGAGTGACCCCCCGTGCCTGACCTACCTGTACTATTCAGCCACCGATGCTGTCAAGGACACCAACTCTGGCCTCGTGGGACCTTTGCTGGTCTGTCGGAAGAACACCCTGAATCACGACGGGACACAGGTGCCCAGCGTGAATATCTGCCTGTCCCTAAGAGCAGGGTGGTGCACTGGGAGTCCCCACGCAGGCAATTTGCCCAGTTCCCAGCTCAGTTTACAGAGGTTAAATAAATGCCACTCCTTGGGGTAAAAGCTGATCTAAGGGAATGGTTAAGAAGACAAAATCATCATTTCCTAATATCCTGGCTCTTCCTTAGCTTTTCTGTCTTTTCCACGTTAATAATAGCTTTTCACACCACATAATGGACACTTTATTTATCCTTCTGGCTGATGGAAAGGTGCCGATTACAGTCTCTATGCAGACTTGGTAAGAATGTGGCTTCAGGGAAAAGAAAGCTTTGTTATAAAAACCTATTCATTTTTATTGAATAGACTTTTTTTTTTTTTTAATGTCTTGTTTTCCTTCTTGTCTACAGAAAGGAATAGACAGAGAATTTTACCTCCTCTTTTCAATTTTTGATGAGAATGACAGCTGGTATCTGAAAAAGAATATTGAAGCATTTACTGGAGACCCTTCAAAAGTAGATGAAAATGATGCTGATTTCATGGAATCCAACAAAATGCATGGTATAAAATATCTAATATCTATTAATGATACCTTTTATTCAGTCATGTTAGGAAGATAAGTTGGCAGGTTTTATCATCCTTCAGATCCCTCTGCACTGCACTGGAGAGTGAGATGTAAAGCTGTCAGTCAGCTTATGGCCAGCTCCTGGTGCCCTTGGAGTGCACGTTAAAACCCCAGTCACAGTGGCAATGAATGCATCCATCTACCAACTATATCTGGAAAAAGGGAACAGAGCATTGGTTTTAGATACAATACTTAGTTCTATAAAAGGGCACAGTGCCAGAGATAGGCATCAGCTGCAGAAGAAGTCAATGTTCACTAGTGTTTTAAATTTCACTGCTACCCTTGGCACTGACTCAGTCAGTAAAGTCTACCTACCCTGCTCTGCCACCTCCCACTAGGGCAGTGACCACCTCTGGAGGAGGAGACGTAAAGACTAGGGGAATGGCCAAAAATATTGTACAACATCATTTCTGGATGCAAGTATCTGACTTCAGCATGGATCTCCTCCAAGGTATCCCTGGGATTACAGACTTGAGCAAATAACATAACCTATCTTTGCTTTAGATATATATTGTTAGAGAGCTCTGAGGCTTTCTGGACCTATTTTATTCTTCTGCTATGAAATGGATCTCAAACTGAAGTTTTAATCTTTTATGTTATCTTTCACTTCATCTTTCACACATTGATCGCAGAGAAAATTTGAGGATTAAGGAGTTTAGCCTCATAATACCCTTGTAAAAGAAAGATACACATATAGGAAGTAAAGGTGGAAATCAGAGGTCAAAATCACATTAAAAAAGCTCCACCAGAACTGAATTTGTAACTCAGACTCGTTATGGCCCCCTCCATAGCTTTAATGACCTGGTTGTCTACTCTTCAGGCTGAAAGGAGGTACCAAATTTCTACACTTGGCTGGTGTCTGGGAGGTACAATGAGGAGCTTGGAGGAGGAGTGCTACATCACTGCAAAGGGCTATTACAAGATTTTACAGGCTGAAACCAAAGAGTAGAAGTTCTGAGTTCATAGGAATAGCACTTAGATGTTAATTTGGTGTCCTCCAATGCTACCTTTGCTTCACAAAATGCCCCTTTAGTGACTTGCTGAGTCGTGAGTCTCTGGCCAGGTAGATGGCAGGAGGCTCTGTGATGCATTTCTGTGGACCTGCCGCTAACCAGGATTTTTCCTTCTCTTCCAGCTGTCAACGGCTACCTGTATGGCAATCTGCCAGGCCTGACCATGTGCAAGAATGACAAGGTCTCCTGGCACCTCATTGGGCTGGGCAGTCACTATGACATGCATGGGGTTCATTTTCAAGGAAACACCATTGACTTGAGAGGGACAACACGGGATGGGCTGGCCTTGTTTCCTCATTTATCAGGGACAGCACTAATGCAGCCAGACCGTGTGGGTATGTACATGAAGTGATTCTGGTTTTGTGGCACTTGCAGGCACCAGTCAGCCAAAATAACAGACAGTGAGATGCTCTGCCCTGCACAAGGAGGCTGAAGGCATGGAGAGAGACCTTGGGGACTCAGTGTAGCTGAGAATTCAGGCTGGATTACTTTTCTGGGAAGGTGTATAAATCAAATATGCATACTCACCATTGACCAGAGGCTTTAATGACCTGGGGATGGGCAGAGCAGCAGGCAGAGAGATAGGTCATAGGTTGCTCACAGAATTTTATAATTCTCCAAACAGTCTTTTCTAGAGAAGCAAATTCACTGCCATGTGGATAGTCAGCATCATTGAAGGTATTTTAGGACTTCAACAAAAGCTTTTCAGTAATAGTCAGTCTTTAGGAGTTTCTTCAGAAGCTTATACATTAAAGGTACTTTTAAATGTCATGGGTAATCCAGTGATTCATACTTCAAACTAGGAGAGTATGAGTTGTTTTCTGGCGACACCAAATAATCTTCATAATATAGAATACAATGTTACTTTACATTGGTGCAACTCTGTTTAAGTTAATAGAGTCATCAGGGTTGTACAAGGCTATGCTAAGGGCCATCCATGCCAGGGAACCTGATAGAAATGTATATTGGAGTTGTGTATGTGCCAGGTTAGACCTCTTTAGCAGATGCCTGTAAGACAACTGAAATTTTTCTTACACAAATCCCAAAGATTTCATTCATCTGGCAGGAAAGTGCACTGTAGGACTCACACAAAACAATTATTCGAAGAGATTGTCAATTTTTGGCTAACCTTCTATTGGCAATAAGGGAAATTGAGAATGAATTACCAGATCTTTATAATCACCAATGCATGTGATTTTTTTTTTTTTTAGTTGCATGTTATTTTATGTTTTTCATCACTTTTGCCTCTGAAGCACAGGAAATGGACTGAGATCTAGTCTGGACAGATGCTTCTAATTTTGGTTCTATCACTGATTCACATACAAAGCAGCTGTGAAAGTGCTTTCCTCCTTCACTCAGTGTGAGCAGGTGGAGCTGTACAGGACAACATCACGGTCAACTTCTGCTTGAGTAAATGGGGAGAAGAGAAGGAGACTATAAATATTAAAATCTGCCCATTAACATGCCAAAATGTGCTCCCACAATCACTGCTGTCTTTGACCACCAGAGCTACCAAGAAAAAAAACCAAAATGGCCCATGGTGGTTTGGCCTTTCATGAAGGCAATGCAAAGTGTCAGAAAGTTACACTTTACATTAACTGTGCATATAGATAAATGGTTATAATCAGTCATTCCTGTACAGTGGGTCTGTGTCTTCATTGCAGAGCCCTTCATTAGCCTGAGTACACCAGACAAACTGCAGGGGCTCAGTGGAGAGTATCTTGCACTGAATGCTGATACAGTGCCTCTGTGCTCAGGGACAAGGAACCAGCATCTCTGAAACACACCCCTTGTTTCTCCATGCCTTTACTGAGTTTTGCAATGAATGCTTCCTCCTACATCTTCTTGTGTTCCTCATGGGCATGTCTGCAGCATGGGCTCTCTGGCAAGCTTATTCCTGCTGCCAGACAGCTAAGTGCTTTTCAGAGTTTCCTTGGCCAAGCTAATCTAACTCACAGTTAGAAGTAATTTATTGTGATTTTTGAGCAAAGATAGAGCAGGCTAGTTTTTCCTATAAGCAAAAGAGGGTCAAGTCTTTCTGGGTCCTGCACTTGGTTCACAATAACCCCATGCAATGGTAAAGGCTGCAGGCAGAATGTCTGGAAGACTTCTCAGCAGAAAAGGTCCTGTGAGTGCTGGTCTATAGCAGCTGACCATGATGCAGGGTGTGCCCAGGTGGCCAAGAAGGCCGATGGCATCCTGGCCTGGATCAGCAGTGGTGTGGCCAGCAGGAGCAGGGCAGTGACCGTCCCCATGGACTCGGCACTGCTGAGGCCACACCTCAAATGCTGTGCTCAGTTCTGGGCCCCTCAGTGCAAGAAAGACATTGAGGGGCTGGAGCGTGTCCAGAGAAGGGCAGCGGAGCTGGGGAAGGCTCTGGGGCACAAGTCTGGTGAGAAATGGCTGAGGGAGGGTTTAACCTGAAGAAAAGGAGGCTCAGGGGGGATGTTCTCACTCTCTATAACTACCCTGGTGTTAGTCTCCTCTCCCAAGAAGTAACAAGTGACAGGAAAAGAGGAAATAACCTCAGGTTGCATCAGGGAGTTTTAGTTCATTGGAACAGACTGACCAGGAAGTGGTGGAGTCATCACCTCTGGGTGTGTTTAGAAGATTTTGGATATGGCATTTAGGGACACGGTTTAGTGGGAGACTTGGAAGTGCTGGATTAATGGCTGGCTTGATAATCTTGGAGATCTTTTCCAGCCTAGAATATTTTATCATTCTGTTTCAACATCCCCTTGCTTGACTTTCCATACAGCACAGACATAAGGATTGTCTGAGGACAAATCAGAGGTGTACACAGCACCTAATTTGCCAAGCTGCTTATTGTGTTTTCTAACTGCTTAAATGTCATGCCCTTCTCTTTCCAGGCACATTCAAAGTGGTTTGCAGGACTTTTGATCACTTTGTTGGTGGGATGAAACATCTCTATGAGGTCAGCAGCTGCCGCAACACCAGCCGAGCCCAGCAGCAGCGTGGAGCCATGAGGCTCTACTACATTGCTGCAGAGGAAGTCGAGTGGGACTATGCCTCAAATAAGAGCTCAGCACCCAAGATTTACAACATCAGCAGCTATGAGGAAAGGTACCCAACCCAAAAAACAGTTGAGGGTACAGGACACGCTTAAAGTGGAGGGGAAACTTTGAAGCACCATTTCATGATGCCAGCCTTGCATTTTTTAGGAGGAATTCTTTGCGGAACTTAATATGAGAAAACATATTTGCAAAGTCACTGCCTCTCAGAGTAGACTAGTTCATGGGCACCAGTTTCAGATGCTTTCATTTCAGAGTGTCTCATAATGCTGTTGAATTCAAGAAGGCTTCCAAGTTTGTGTTCCAGTCCTGGCTCAACCTTACAGTGATGCCCACCAATCCCCTCCTCTCCCTTACTCTCCTCAGCCTTGCCATCCCAGAGTTCTGGTTTTCATACAGGAGAAAGTCAGGCACCTGTTCCAGATGTGAGCTCCTGTAGGAAATGCAGATGCATGAAAGGGGTGCTGAGCCTGTTTTCCTGCAGCATGGTAGCCCCTAGATCCCCTGAAAAGATCAGAACATAAGTAACCCTGCAAGTGAATCACTGTAATGTGTTAAGAAACAAAAAACTTGTGAAAAAAAAACACGCATTCCAGATCATATTGCGTAGACTGGTCTCTGAGGACACTTTGGTGAAAGCAAAAAGGAACACATGTCAAAAATAAATCTTAGAAAAGCATCTAGGAAACTGCTCCATGTAGAGAGGAAGAGGAGTCTGTAAAAAATACATGTACCTGAAGAGCCACAGGTGATGATGTGAGTTTAAAGAAAACATAAACTCCAGTACTGTCAAAGGCTGCAGTTGCAGATATAGCTCACTACACAGTAAGCAGCATCCCTGGGGCAGTTTTTTTGTTTTATTTAGCATATTGTGATCCAGTCTTGCAACTCCCCTGCCAGGGGCACCTTGGAGATGAGCTGCCAGGAGGCAGCTGCTCCCAGAAGAAAGGTGAACACTCAGCTGCACAGCGGGTTGTGAGTGTCCTCTGCCGGCAAGTCAGCCCTCTGGGATCCCATGGGAGCAGCAACAAACTGAGGGTAAACCTGGAAAGCATAGTCTTCCAGGTGCAGAAGGGAAAATAGATTTCTCCCTTTATCGTCACATGCTGGGAAAGCATCCAACCTGTGCAGTAACGCAGCTCCCTCTTATCTCAGATGCTGGCATTCGTTTTCGAAGGTCAAGTTCTGTTTATCATCTTCCCATGGCTGACTAATCGCCAAGACAGCAAAAGCAGCCATCAAGATAAGAGGATTCAGGTTTCCTGGGACAGGCAGTATCTTTTATTGGAGTGAACGGTGCAGCTGGAGAGGGCAGCTGAAACCACTCTCGTCTCACACTTTACCTCAGCTCTGACAGCGCTGGTGAAAGATCTGTGTTCCCAAAATTCTTGAAGAGTGCAAATTATCCTCAGCTTTACCTGTTTGAAGAGGGTATGCATTCAGTGAGGATTATCAGCCTTGCTGTTTGCTATTTAAAACCTCTTGCATCTCTCAGGGCCTTCACATCCATCAGCATGTTGGACCAAGCTGTATGTTCTCATTAAACCTACTGTGAATAACACAACAGTTACCAGCTTTCAGATGTGTACGCTTTAGTGCTTTTATTGTCTTTTCATTTTGCAGCTATGGGCATGTTTTTCTGAGCCAAGCAGAGGACCTGATCGGTTCAAAATACAAGAAGGTGGTTTACAGGGAGTACACAAGTGGCAACTTCACACAGCGCAAAGTGAGGACAGAAGAGGAGGAACACTTGGAAATCCTGGGCAAGTAACTCTCATGCCTCACAGACCAAGCCTGTGGTCAGCAAGAGGATTGCTTTCCAAAAACTAAGATGTTTTCTAGCTTTTTAAAGATGGAAAATGAGGAACACTGATGCCTATTTCAGGTATCAGTGATTTTACACACTATTTATGTAATTTATGTAATTGCTGAGCATAAAGATCCTGTCCAAGTTAAAGAATTCATTCTTGGACATCAATAAGAGTGTCCTAAGGAGTGTTATAATGGCAGTTCCAGGATTCACCTTAGCTTCAGAGCTTGTAACATGGGAGAGATTCTTGTAAACAGATTAAGACAATATTAAGGAGATAGATTTTGTGTTTGTACTTGGGCAAGGCATAATTT